CGCAAAAATCTGAAATGTGCTACTCTTCCACGCAAAAATCTGAAATGTGCTAGTCTTCCACGCAAATAACGAAATGTGCTAGTCTTCCGCGCAAAAATCTGAAATGTGCTACTCTTCCACGCAAAAATCTGAAATGTGCTAGTCTTCCACGCAAAAATCTGAAATGTACTAGTCTTCCACGCAAATAACGAAATGTGCTACTCTTCCACGCAAAAATCTGAAATGTGCTACTTTTCGACGCGAATAATGAAATGTGCTAGTCTTCCACGCTAATAGTGAAATGTGCTAGTCTTCCACGCGAATAGTGAAATGTGCTACTCTTCGTAGGGACCGACGATATGTCAAATGGCTGCTGTTGATTGGTTGGAGCAGTTGATTGTTTATTGTTTTTTGTTCTCTTTCACATCATTCCTATGAAATTTTTGACAGTCCTCGCCGCAAAAGCAAAAACAAAATACATGTACATTTTGTTGTTGGCGTACCGATACCACCTTATTGAATACGCCTTGGAAAAAATGTTCCATTGCCACCTACTGGCCATCACAGTTAGAATTTTGTAAATGTGGAAGTTAAGTATCACTGATTGTTTTCCTGGCCTGTCGACTTGCCGGATGTCAAATTTTCTTCTCCGAAAAGGTAGCATACGTTGAGGAGCATGATGCGTTATGCTGTGAAAAATATTTCCGCTGGCATTTACTTCTTTTTGAGCGCCTGGTAGAAATTTGCAAGTGATCACAAAAAATCTCTAAAAGAATAGCAGACGCGCCTAATAACATGCAACATTTAGTTACATGCTCCGCATACTACAACACCCTTTTACGGCGTTGTTGCATGTTCATTGCCATTTTTCGTTCTCTTTCACTACAGACCTTTCCCACGATCCAGAAAAAATATATATATATATGTATTCTATCATTCTTGGACTTTTCCTACATATGTATGTTTACGGTGACCAGATTTCTGTGGCCAAAAAGCATCGAATTAGCAATTTTGTTTTTAGAACAAAAGGACATAACATATTTTAATACAGTTTTATTTAAAATAAAACAAAGAGAAAAAAACCGAAAATGTATGCACAGATATGGCATTTACTAAGTTTTGGCGTCTTTTCTTTGTTAAAAAAAAATTATAATTTTCCAATTTCCAACTTTGTAGAACACTTATAAAACTCCGACGAATTTTAATAAAATTTTAAACATTTTAATTAGGTTTTCTAGAATTATTTTGAGTATACAGCTTTGTAGCCCATTAAATTTTAGTATAATAAAGTCAAAGTTTGAAGTAGCTTTGACTTATCGTTGATTTTTGGCAATTTTTTGTTCGCGTATTTTCTTCCATACAAAGTATGTTCAAGATTTTTTTGTATGGAGAAAATAAGCGACAATTTCCAAAAAAAAAAAAATACCAAAAACCAACGGTTGTCGTAGCTACTTAAAATTTGCACATTTGCACTTTGAATTTAATGTTTCTAAGAAATCTAATTAAAAATTTCAAATTTTTAAGGAAACTTTTTCGAATTTTGCTAATTTTTGTACAAAGTTTGAAATTTTGACTTACGTTAATAAAAAGATAATAGCCAAAGAATGCTACAAAATCTCCTGTATATTTATATTTTTGCCACTGTATCTACAGCTTATATTTTGCATATCCATGATTTTTTTGAAGGAATTAGTATTATTTTTTATAATTTTACTAAATTCATGTTAGAATCGTTTCATAAAAAATAAACAAATGATTATAAAAATGCAATATAGTAAGAGTACCAGTTTGATAGAAAAAAAAATATAATCAAAGGTCATAGAAAGTAAGGATGCTGGCTATGTTTATGGCTCCCTTATATTCTATATCCTTTGTAATAACGTAAATGTTAGAGTACAGGGAGACACATATTAAATTAATAAAGAGAACAATGAAAATCGGTATTTAAATACATATATTCAGCTGGACAATTTCTTCAAAATCGGTACTGCCCCGCCAAAATCGTTATGAATGGTCACCGTATGAATGTTGCAAAATAAGTGATCTTTATATTTTCAAGAATAGGGTACAAAATTCTGAAAAAAAACAAAACTATTCAAAAGAGTGAGCCACATATTAAAATGGAAGCTGGTTGATTAATTTAATTTTAAACATATTTGGCGCGCTTCTCCTCCGATTTTTACAGAAGTACACTAGAGGGTTTGCCACTGTCTGCCGAGAACTGACCGCTATTAGAAAAACTTTTGTTTGGATGTGGCTAGGAGCAGGGATCGAACCCTGGACCTATCTAACCACTCGAACTCATAATTGTAAGTAATAACAACAATGAATATATAGTAAAAATAGTTTAATACACATTTTATTTAGTTTTTTAATCAAGCTTAAAGTACAATATCGCGGCAATTCAAGCCTATACTTATGTGTATAATTATAAAGGTCAAGGGTAAACATGTTCAATAATATTATTAATGTTGCACAATAGATATAAAAATAAAAGTCCAAATCAAATATGAAACACTTAAAAATTTATATAAAATCAAAGAAAGTTACTTAAAATTTTTAAAATGACAACAAGGACTTTATCTTGTAGCAATAATGACAACAAATACATTTTATATAGTCCATATAAAGTGTCACAAAATTATCCTAACTAACAAATCGTTCAAAGTCATACAAGCGATTTTTACCTTAAAAAATGCAATAGTGTAGGCTCATAATGTGCTTTGGATAAGCGTGGCTACTTTTGAAATTTTTTTTACGAAAAGTTATAAATACATATAGTTATTGTTGATTTCATTTTTGCATTTTTACAGCTGTCGGCTCCGTTTAGATAAGTCTTACATAGACATAAAGGCATTTGGCGATTTTATTTTGTAGATGCATTTTTGTTCATTTAATATTTTCTTCTTATTCTCTTACTTATAAATTAACTTAAATAAAGTACCCGCGGTTATCGTAAATTTGATATTTTTAAGGTGGTCATTTAAATTTATTTCTATGCAATCCGCCGGATGAAATACGTTCACACAACAAAAATTTTTTAAAAAAATCTTTTTTTTTGTTTCTTTACTTAAAAAATATATTACAATAATTTAACTGTGTTAGCAGATACAACATCATTTCTAACTAGTAAAGTGACATCGATTCAAAAAATTATGTTAAACTTGTACACATATATTTTTTTAGCTTTCATAATTAAATACGCATTGCATAAAAAGCACTTTGGATTTTTCACTCTAAGGCAACTTGGTGATAATTCCGCTCTTTTTATTTACTTTTATGATTTTTGATTTTGTATATGCTTGTGTTGTTGTCGCTTTAGCTGGAAGGCGCTTGGAATTACCGGTCAGCCGCGCATGAAATTTGCTTAAAATTAAAAGATGTTCCTTAAAGTTGTTCAGCCGCTGCAAGTGGAAAATCAAAATTTAAATAATTTCACACAATGAAATACAATTTATAAATCAATATTCAGAGGAAAAAGGTGATAAAGCATTAATTCAAGCAATAAACTATTTTGGAAATAAAAAACGAAATCAATTGGTATTAGGTCATTCTTTTGTAAAATAAAAAATTAAGTTTGCACTCTTCAAGCAAAAACCAATTAGCGACGCATTCGTCTGTCACCTTATATACACTTTGAAAAAAATCGATGGGTAGGAAGGGGGAAAAATAAAGTGTTATTGGGTAAAAAATTGTTATTAAAATTGCTTACTTGTGCTGGCTTTGACATGCAAACAGCCAATCGGTTGGGAATTCATCGCGCTTCACAAAATTCGGTTCTTTACAAAAAGTCATTCATATTGATGTAGTTTTTAAAACTGAAGAAGAACATAACAAATAACATAACGAGGTTGCATTTGAAAATATTAATAAACTAGGAATATACATACATATCTATGTATTTATGTAGGTAATTGCAATTAAAATATTGAAATGGGTATGAAAATTACAATACAGAAACACAAAACATGTAGAAAGCATATGAAATGGGTGCAAATAAGAGACACAAGAAAAGTATGGAAAAAGAAATGGTAAGCAAGGAATCTGCACAGATCGATTCGTTCTTCTGCTTGAACTCGAGTAAGCCGATTCGCGGAACAAAAACTAATTTAGAATTGAATTGGCTGCTCAATTCTTGCGGCTGTTTGCAATTTTAGACAGCCACAGAGGTATTATTTCTTGAAAATATTTTTACTATTATTTTACTTTTTAGATCGTCATTAGTTTAATTTAAAAGATATTTTAAATGACATAAGCGTTAGATTTGGATGGATGTATTCAACTAATAATAATAGCTAGGAAGCCCGAAGGGCGTTAAAACGCCCAAAATTTAATTTCGAAAACTTAAAAAAATGTTAGTGAGAGTTACAAGGGATCCGAGTGTCATATTTCATCTAAAACCGTGCAGACGTTTCTGAGTGAAGGTAAGTCTCGCGCAGTGCAGGTGTTTAATTTCATCAAATTTTTGAATCGCCCTTTAAATTTTGAAAAAGATTAGTTAAAAAAATAAAACTTTATCACACAACTACAGGCTAAGGTCTTTAATTTGACCTCTCATTTAAAAAGTATTCTCAAACTAAAATCTTCTTAAATATCGATCGATGCCCATCTTTTAATAATTAATCCCACTTATTGAATAATTTGAATAAAATTTTTTAAACTCGTGGCAACCCTCTTCAAACATTCCAAAAGTTCAAACTAGAGATTCCTCAACATTTTTTGTTTGACTATGGAATTTTTATATTTCATATGTAACTTTTTGTATTAGTTAATTGAATTAGACCTTTCAAACAGGTGGCAGCCCTCTTCAAAAGCATTTTCAAGATAAATCCTTGTTAACTCATGCGATACATATTTTAATTAAGTGATGAATTAGGAGGAATTCGATTTTTCAAACATGTGGTAAATACAGTTCAGAAATAAAAAATATTCTAACCGCCTTCGATTAATACCGATAGTTTGATAATTCATTTAACTTATAAAATAATTTGAATTTAACTTTTTAAACAGGTGACAACCCTCTTCCAACACCTAAAAACTATTCGTAGCGTTCACACTAAAGATTTCTTATTACTCTTTCGTTTGACATCCATATTTTGATATTTCATGGAACTTGAAACTCCTTTCGGTTGGCACCCGTATATTTGTCTTACCTAATTCACTTCATTAAAATTGAATTCGATTTTTTTAGACAGGTGGCTACCCTCCTACAGTTAAGTTAAGAAACAAAGCTTTTCAAAACCAAAAACGATTGATATCCATTTTGTAATAATTGATTTATTTTTTAGAATAATTTCAAAATAATTTTTTAAAAGGTGGCAACTCTTTTCAAAAAAAATAAATAAAACCTTATTGCATATCTGCAGCCCAAGCCGTTTAATTAGACACCTCATTTTAGAAAATCGAGCGAACGGTGCAGATTTTATGTTGTGGACAAAACGTCGGTCCCTACGAAGAGTAGCACATTTCACTATTCGCGTGGAAGACTAGCACATTTCTCTATTAGGGTGGAAGACTAGCACATTTCATTATTTGCGTCGAAAGGTAGCACATTTCAGAATTTTGCGTGGAAGTTTAGCACATTTCAGATTTTTGCGTGGAAGAGTAGCACATTTCACTATTTGCGTGGGAGAGTAGCACATTTAGGGTTTAAACTAAATCATAAAAGCATAATTTATATTGGAAATTCAAGTGCTTATTTTATATTTCTATAATTCTATTATGAAACTCATGAAATTCAGACGGTATATAGCGTTTAGTGATCATTTGCCGGAGATCATCCACTTTTCTTTTTTTTAAAGGCATTTTTCCCCTTTAAGCTTTATGCAATTCATATTGTTTTATGGTTAACCATTGAAATTTTGTTTTCAGTATGTTCATCTCCAATTAAAATAAAGTTCATTTAAAAAAACCATGTAAACGCACGCTTAAAATTTTGTAGAAATATGATGATAAAGCGCTCAAAGTTTTCCATGTATTTTTATATGGGGAAAAACAACTTTTCGTAGAAATGGTATAGAATTCTTGAAAATCAATATTTTTCGATCGGAAAACTATGGTTCTCTTCAGGAGACTTACAATAATAATACCCAAGTATTTATTTAACCATTTTTTAATACTAACGATTTTTTATTTGTCCCCCCATTGCATTTTTCGGGGTTTTGTGGGTTTTTGGCGGACCTACAAATTATAGTTGCGATGAAAAAATGGTTAAATAAATAATTGGGTATTATTATTGGGAATCCTGCAGATGAAAAGAGTTTTCCGATAGAAAAATATTAGTTTTTTTGAATTCCAAACCATTTATTCCATTTAACTCTCAGCTTAGTCGAGGAGAAATAATTATAACATACATGTATGTTTGGTTTTTGTACGGCTGCTAGTACCACTTTATATGAATTCGCTACTCTTCTACGCGAGAATCTGAAATGTGCTACTCTTCCACGCAAAAATCTGAAATGTGCTACTCTTCCACGCAAAAATCTGAAATGTGCTAGTCTTCCACGCAAATAGTGAAATGTGCTACTCTTCCACGCAAAAATCTGAAATGTGCTACTCTTCCACGCAAAATTCTGAAATGTGCTACCCTTCCACGCGAATAGTGAAATGTGCTAGTCTTCCACGCGAAAATCTGAAATGTGAATGCGAATAGTGAAATGTGCTAGTCTTCCACGGTAATTTGAGATGTGCTACTCTTCGTTGGGAGCGACGAAAAAATCCCTTCGCGTATTATTTATGTACATAGATATAGATAGATGGGCGCTTACGCAATTTGGACGCATAGGCCCAAGTCAGAAAGACTTGAATACATATAATGATCATACTTTTAACCAAACACTAGCTTATTAGTTTGTTTAGTTTTCACTTATGTATTTGTTCTTCATATCTATTTTAAAATGTATTAATGTATGAATAAATTAGCATTGAAATATAGATTAGATACAAATGAAAACGAAATATGTGTTGTAATTTTACAGTGAAAAGAAGCGAATGCAATAACGATGCAGGGTTTTTATTAAAAATTAAAATGGCAATAATACAATATTACGATAGAATAGCAAACATTTTTTTTTAATAAAGTCGCCCTTCTAGTAACATACCTCTTAGCCGATGTAGTGCGCGAGTAAGGATTTTGTAAGAGTTTCGGGTGAGTTTCCATCACACGCAGCAATAAATTGTCCAGATAATCTTCTAGCTCTTTCACACGTTGACGTTGGAGTAACGCTTCATTTTCCATGCCATTAGCTATTAGCATAAGCTCCTGAAAAGCGGTGGAAAATTAGTATACCTATGTAAAACCAAAACAAATTGTAATAAAAACGTGAATGAACCTCTCGCGATTTGCCCTCGTATTTCTTGGCGAGCGCTGCTGATATTTCCGAGCGCCGTTCAGCATGTGATGTGGACTTTTCGTGGCCAATAATAATGCGTTCGTTGGCTTTGGGACTTGGCGTGGAACGATTATCTTCACTTTTCTCTATAAGATATTAAACACATTGGGTTCATGATTTTTTCAAGTCATAATATTTGCTTCACATTGAAACTGCAATGCATATGAGTAATGAATTAATGTGCAAAATGAATGCAAATGATTGATAAATATACAAACATATTATGTACATATGTAGGTATGCACAAGCGAATGGAGTAATGAAAATACACCTGCTCTAACGAATTCAAAAGCAAAAACATATGCGCATGTAGTGTGTGAGTGATGATGAATATTTGCGTGTGTGTGGACAGCGTACAAATGAAATCCACTGGCGGATTTGCGTTTGATTGGCCTTATTATAGAAGCGTGCATTTCAATTTTCATAATATTTATGTATATACAACTAACTGATCCGAATCAAATCATGCAAATATGTATCTCCCAGTTTTGAATAGTGTTCATGTGTTTTTAGTTTATTTTTTGTCGCAAATTTCTTGCTTGAGTTAGGCAAAATTTCACTTTGTTTTCTATGAATGTGTTTCGCGTTTTACATTTTTCATAAATCCGCCAGCGTTTGCCGCCACAGTCAACAACAACAACAACAAACGTTCATCAACCACTGCACACCGTCCCTCTCAAACGCTCACCTCGCTTATTGAGATATTTGAATTTGCCCATACGTCGTTCGCGTTTCTCAGCCAAAGTATCGCTGGGCGATTGTTCAGGCGTGCCATAAGGACTTTGTTCTTCCTCCAGCGATGTAGAGCGCTTAGCAAAGTTCAAAATGCGTTGATCTTCTTCACGTCTTTTTGCCTCTCGTCGCTTCTCCTCCTCACGTTGACGCAATTCCTCCTGCAATGCTTCCTCTTCTTCTAGTAATTTCTGTTCATTCCTGCGCAATTCTTCCTCTAGGCGCGCATCCTCAGCAGCGCGGCGCTGTTGTTTTTGTTCAGATGCTTCACGGCGGTTACGTTCAACTTCGGCGGCAATGGAAGCTGCTTCAAGTTCAGCTTGGCGTTTGCGTGCGGCTTGTGCAGCGGCCTTGGCCTCGGCGTCAGCTGCCGCTTTGGCAGCTGCTTCAGCTTTGGCCTCTGCCTCCGCCTGCCGTATGCGTTCGGCTTCTTGCTCTTCTTCAGCGCGCTTTATTTCTGCTTCTCGTTCACGATTTCGTGGCATGGCCTTTGGCACAGGAGGAGGTCTGGATTCTTCCGCAATGAAGGATTGTGTATGCCATTTTTTATCTGCGTCCAAATCGAATAAATGTGACTTATTGCGCTGTTCGAATTTCGCAAATGAAGCGTTAAGCTCTTTGAAATCCTTTGTCTCCTTATCCGGGGACAAAAGACTTATATTTTTTGTTGCTGCAATGGGCGTAGGGGATAGATTAAGTTCTAGTGTTTTATTGGGAATAACTTTGACTTCAGTTTTGATTGGTTCAGGCATACTTTCCTCCTCGTCTAAATCCGAAGATGACAAAGAAGAGTCACTCTCATTGCTACGTTGTGGAAACTTTGCAACATTGAAACCATTTGCTTGTTTCTGATAGCCATTCTCTTGCTTGTTTTCTACTTCATTTTTCTCTTCCACTTTCACTTCTGGTTCCTGCTCTACCTCTTCATTGGGTGTTGGTAGCGGCACTCGTGACTGTTCCCAAGAACGTCGCTTCAAAGAATCTGAACTGCCAATTTGTAAGTGTTGTTTATACAGTTTCGACTCCCATTCGTCTAGTGACTGATCCTTCTGTTTGGGTGACGCAGCTACCGCATCGTTGATTTGTTGTTGTGTGCGAGGTGGTTTCGAGGGCGGCGGCAGTGTTCGTGCACGGACGCTGAAGTCGTTTTCTAATTCCTCTAACTCGGGATCTACGGCGAGATCCTCCTCCACCAAATCTCTTCTAGACAACGGCTTACCTCCGACTTTGCCCAGCAGCGGTGAGGGATTACGTGGTGCGAAATTTTGTGTAGGCACTTGTAGATTTGAACGTATGTTCAATGAACTCGCCGAGCTCTTGTGTGACAAATTGTCAAAAACGAATTCATCTTCATCCTCACTAATGACACCAGGATCAGCCTCACCGGCACGCTGACCATAACGATGACTACCGCCATTCGAACTGTTCGGCGTGCCGATGCTCGCGAATGAGCCGCTGAAATTCGATACATCATCGCCATCCTTATTCTTCTTCTTGCTGCTCAAATGCATTTTCGAGCCAATCGATTTGGCGAACTTCTTAATACCTTTGCGTTTTTCTATTGTGCCAATCGAAAGCAGACTGCCACCCACGGAAGAAGCCAGCTGGCCAATGGAAGACTTGTGCTTTTCTTTTTTGCTCAGATCAGTCAGTGAGCCAGATTTGACTACGAAGGAAATACGAACTTCCAGCTCACCGCGCTCTTTATTCTTTTTCTCTTTGCCAGGTTTACTCTCTAGTTTGAACCATTTAGAACGTGGACGGTCGTAAACGTCCATTTCATTCAGTGGCAATGTGGCCTGACCGAGAAATTCATCGATGCCGAGATTATTGCGATGTAGGCAAGTCAATGTCAATTCAGCACGGTTGCCTTGATCAGGAATTTTGCTAAAGGGGAAGGTAAAGAAAAGAGCATGAACTTGAAGAAAATTCTATTTATGTAATTACAATCCAATGACAAAAACTTACAGTTCACATTCTTCATTCCAGCTGACATTTGTTTCCGCTTTGTCTTTAACTGATGTCTGGTATTTCTCTTTACCCAGCGAAATCGTGACGAAACAATTGTTGGTGCCATTTTTGCCTTTTGTCAGCAGACCTTTCGCACGTTGAACTGTGCAATGAAAATAGAGAAAAAGAAATTTTAATATTATTGGATTATATGTACATATATCGTAAATGCAAAATGCTTTGGAATTAAAGTGTTTAGTATATACATAAATTGCTATCATTGTTTCGTAGATAAGATACGAAATCACTGCTATGGCTGCAAAGATTTTGAGTAAATACTAAAATTATCCACAAATTCGAGTTTAAACGGTTTGCTGCTAATAACAATTCACCTTGAGAAGGCTTGCCCGATATACATACACATGTACAGCGGCAAAAATATAAACATTTTTATTTTTATATTTTATTTTTTTATTTAATGTTTATAAAAGTAACAAAAACCATATACGTTCAAATTTCAAACTTTGTACAAAAGTAGGGAAAATTTTAAAAATTTCTACAATTGCATTAAATTTTCAAACACAACAAAAGTCACTGACTTTTCGAATTGTTCTCGTATTTGCCCTCCTATCTACCTACTTTAAAATCATTGCATATGAACGTTGAGGATGTTATTCACTTTGTGATTAAGAAAATAGCTTTTTTTAAAGCGATGTTGTGGTATGTTATTAACAGATATAGTGCCTAAAACTATATATGTATATACACTGAGTCAAAAGTACAATGGGTTTTTCTACCAAGTTATTGTTTGATTTTTTCATGGTAAAGACACCGACTGTAAGAAATGTGATTCAAGTTGAAAATTTGAAAACACAGTCGTATGTCAGGCTGTAGCTGAACGCGTAGAGATGCTTGCTGTTATTTGTTGGCTTCCAGCAGGTTAGGGTTCGAATGCCGTCATAAGCATTTTAGTTTTTTTTTTACACGATTAAACGACGAAAAAAATGTATTCAAGTTCAACGTGACACCGTCATCAAAAAAAAATCTTAAAAATCAACGGTATTATGTAGCTTATTGCAACTTGCATTTAATTATACTAAAATTGAATGGGCTACAAAACTGCATACCAACAATTTTTCTAAAAATTCTGAATAAAAAATTTGAAAATATTGTTCAAGGTTTGAAAAGCGGATTTATATGATTTTTGTTGTATAACTACCTAGGCTTTTATAAAAAAATATTACACATAAAGTAAACTAAAGAAATACAGCCAAAATTGTTAAAAGTACGACGAGACCATGATACAAAAAAGAAGGTAGTTTCAATACACAACTTTTGACGGATAATAAAATTTTTTGAAGTTTCATAAATTGTGAGTATTATCAACGACCTTGCCACTTTGAATATTAAAACAATGGCTGCATTTCTTTATTCATTCTGAACGTTTGGAATAAACTTTTTTGTTTACTTATTCTTTAGAACGTTCCTGATGACATGTTAACGTATATTTCAAACGCATTCTGTTTATTCCGGCTGTGAAATGGGATTATCCGGAATGTATAAAGAAACGCAGCCAATAAATCGGAGTATCTTCCATCCCATATTTATACCAATGTAATAATATTTCAAATCAAAACCCATTATCAGTGCTTGGTATTTTTTTACTTACGTAGCTCGCACTATTTTTATTACAAATATATAAAATATAGACTATTAAAGAAGACTTCATCGTAATTGTTGTTTTTATTTTATAATAAAAACCACGCGCGCATTACGGCAGACCTCCATAGCATCCGTATACGTATGCGTGCGCTTGACAGAAAAATTTAATATACAAATTTTTATGGCAGCATACGGATACGCATGCTATGGAGGGCAGCCTATAAGTTGTTATTTTTTCGTTTTCTTATTTTGAGTGCAATCTTGCGAATTAAAAATCTGATTCTAAAGAATGTTCTTCCCAAATAAAACCTTTTTATATTTTGGTTAAAATTTATTTTTAAATTTGTCATAAGATTTTGCAAAAATAAGGCTTTGTAATTAGCGTATCACCATTAACTTTCACAAATTTTGAAGTTAAAGTTTCTAATGTATGCGAAAAACCTGAAGCCGCCCTCAGATAAACAATTCACATATCGTCATATAAAGTACAAAACCGCGTATCAACAAAATGCAAAACTGCGTATGTGGGGTTGCATAAATTATTTTCTGTAAAAACACCCATATTTCAAAATCCTGCTCTTTTTTTACAAAGCAATCGCATTTCTGTTTAGTATATTTGAGGACGAATGGATAAGGCTTCAGCCAAGAGGTTGTGTAAGAAAATCCATTTTTTGGCAAAAAATTACAGTTACGCGGTTTTGCCGAACGACGATACACGGTTTTGTACTTAACGACGATAATAATAATAATAATATATTGGCGCTAACACATATGTTAGTGTTTGGCCGAGCTTCTCCTCCGATTTGGGGCGTGCGCCTTGATGATGTCACACAAAGCGGAGGGACCTACAGTTTTACGTCGACTCCGAACGGCGATTGTATTTTTATGAGAAGCTGTTTTTCATGGCAGAAATAAACTCGGAGGTTTGCCATTGCCTGCCGAGGGACGACCGCTGTTAAGAAAAAACCTTTTTTCTATATTTTTGCGATGTTGCTTTGGCCAGGGTTTGAACCCAGGCGTTGTGGAGGGGAAGCGCGCACTGCTTACCACTGCACCACAGCGGCCGACTATATGTAAGTATAATTTTGATCACATTCTTCATGCGTTCTGAAACCTTAATTTAAAAATCCGGCAATTTTCAAAAATCTGCTTTAAAAAAAATGTTTCCTTAAGTGATCAGGCAGCATGAATTTGATGAAATGTCATAATTTTATTAAGAGTCAAATGGTTAGCAACAACAACGAATGTCATTAAATGAAACTACCTTCTTTTTTGTATCATGGACGAGACTATTATTTCTGCCGCCAGTGTATAAGGCTATTCAGAGCTTTGTTTCAAGAAGTAAGAGGTGCAAATCACATTTCTCAAATAAGATGCTCATACAAAACTTTTTCAATGACAATTTTAGTAACGTAACGGCACGTCAGATTTTTACATTTAAAAACTTGGAAAATTAACCTTACAATATTTCAAATATTACTACAAAAATGACTACGTAACGCCAGATTGGAATTAACCATATGCATTTACAAGTAAAAGTTTTATTTCAAGTACTTATACATATAAGTCATATTACATATTTAGTTGTACTTTGAGTCTAAATCAATAGAGAATTCAACGCGAACGTCAGTTTTCCGTTCATTGTTAACATCCGTGATAAATTTGAACATGTATTGTCCTTCAGGAAGAGGTAATAGCCTAAACATACCATCGTTTGGAACGAAACGATCTAAAATTATGTCGTGCTGCAAAAAGAAAACAGCTTGCAGATTATTTATTTAACTAAATATGCACACACGATACTTACATCGAACGGGCAAGTGTGATTTATATTCGAAGTTTTAAATAATGCGTCATGCACAAGTCTTAAAGTGGTTGTGCTCCTACGTTTCATAAACTTACAGAAATCAACGGTCACATTGTACAGAAAAGGTTGAAATGTGTTAGCTTTCCGCCAAAGGCTTAAATTGAGCTAAATAATTTGTATTTAGTGGTTATGTTAGAAATGCGCAAACTTTCTTACTTACACTGATGTTACGAACTGGTATTTGAAAGAGCCTTACGTGCATCGTAAATGAAATTTCACGTCGACGATAAACGTGCAAACGACAAGTTTTGAAGTCGGCAAATTTGTCATCGAAAGATTTACATATCGCATTAGTAAGTTTTATGTAGGCTTCGGCGAAGTATTCCCTCTGTTCTAGGTGTAGTGTGAAAATTGTAAAAAGCAGCACAAATTTGAGGACCACATTCATGCTTTTAGAATAGACACTAGGAAGCGATTGACTATTAAGAGAGCTTTGGGGGATATTTAAATGCTAATAGCCAGTTTCAAAAAATAAAATGATGTTTATACCTTTCATGAACATGAAATGGTTTTACAACTTTGGTCCGATGTTTGTGAGTAACCGAAGAAGAAGAGATAGAACCATGAAAATGTATGCTTAAATGACATGCCATGTCCGTCCGTCTGTCTGTCTGTCTGTCTGTTTGAACGCAATCTAGTCCCTCAGTTTTCGAGATATCCGACTGAAATTTGGTAAGCGGATGTATTTTTATAATGTTTCAATAATTTGTCGGAACCGAAAAACGCGGACCACTATAGATAACATATGCATAGCTCCCATACAACTGATTGCTAAGATATGAGATTTCTTGTTAGTCTCCTCCATTTATGCAGCTAGGAACATACAATTTTCCACTTTCCAAAAATTCCTTTATGTTGGCTGCTAAACTATTAAATTGTGTGACCGGTTTTCATACGGATCGTACACAGCAGTGAAAATCATTTACATCGGTGTTTCTTAAGGCATATTTTCCATACCACTGATTGTTCAGATATGGGGGGTTTTTTTAACTCCACTATCTATCTATATATGCAGTAAATACATAAATTTTGTTTAGCTCACAAACAACTAATTACAATTTCAGTAATCGGTTGAAGTAACATTTTTTTGATATTCATCAAAGGTATGAAGCCTTTGGCATAGTCGAAGACAGCACTGCCCTTACATGTTTTAATTTGAATTTAATATGAAAACTGGCCGAATGGAAAAAATCAGTTTTCACTAAATAGGCTGGTGAATCCGCCACTTAATGGTATAGTCACGACGATGCACAGTGGTCGGAGAAATTATGTTTTACGCGAAAAAGGCATATTTTAAAACTACGATAAATTAACCGGAATAAAGCTATTCTTATCTAGAAATGTCCAACGAACTCAATGCTGATTAGTATTTTCAATAATATGTGCTGAGCAAGCCGTTAAATCCGTTTGATTCAACGAATCCGATCGTGGCACGTTCCCTTTAACAGTTATAAGTTGATAGCTTTCTTAAAAATTTTTTTATGGAAACTTTCAATTATGTCAGTAATTCTGGCTTGGAGTTACTTCTTAAACATGGAAAATAATGAAATATTACATAATAAAATTTGGTCGCTAAATTATTAACACCTTTAACACAGCTTATTTTTCAAGAAATTTTCTTCAAAAAGGTATAACTAATTAGTAGGATCTTCATACCTATACCAGAAACTAATGCAAAGGCCCCTTGCAGGATTTACGAAAAGAAAATCCGCGCATACTCGCGCCAAAAAGAGTGGCGGCCATTTTTATTTTACTATACCAACTTTAGTAGTTGTTCCAAATAAAATAAAGTATATTAAAATATTAAATATCGTCTATAAGATATGTGTCTTAACAAAACTGAACTCAATTTTCAAAAATCCAATAACGAATCCAATATGGCATCTAAGAATTAAAAACATCACTGAATTTTTATGAAATTTGGTATTTAGAGGTTCTTCAATTCACTCGTTACACATTTTCAACTAGTTTTTCAACATTCAAAATGCAAAATCCAATATGGCGTCCGAAATTTCTAAAAAATTCAAAGCTGAATATCTTTATTTAAAAATGAGAAAACTGCAGTTTTGGCAATGACGAATTTCGTATAAAATAAAAAAAAATCTTAAAAAAACTGTTGGGGTCTATATCAAATTGTTTGGACTGAATATATAGCAGACGGCCCCAACTACTCCTAATTTATAAATATACAAAATTACTGTTAATATTTCATAATTTGATCACAATTTCATTTTAGATAATCTTCTATTATTCCTCGTATATAATAAATCAAATTTTGCTACACAAATATACTGTGTTAGTCAACTGAAAATGACAGTTGATTTGACAGTTGTCAACCGAAAAAGTTTAAATGTGATACAAAACTCGAGATCAGTGAGCCTTAAAACTTAAAACGTTTAGTTCTTGGGAAGTTTTCTTTATTTCTGGAGAAATTTACAGCTCCTTCGACAGTCGTAAACTGTTAAGGATTTTATTTTACGTAAATTCGTAACTAGCGTGTCTAAAACGCTTACCAGTAGCATCTTAAAAAAATATTTGCTTATTTTTAGAGCAATTAAGAGTTTATTTGACAGCTGTCAACTCTCAAAGTTTTAACTCTACATGAAATTCGTGATCAGTACGTGAAGAAACGTAATCAGTGGTATTTTCAAAAAGATTTTCTTAATTTTAGAGAAATTGGCAGTTGATTTGACAGCTGTCAACTGTCAAACTATAAATTTTATGGTATATTCGGATTTAGCATTACAACAATACTACGATTCCGCAGTTTTATTATAATCGTAAAAGCCCTTAATATTTTTCGCATAAAACATGACTCCTCCGACCACTGTGCGACGATCAATTCCAAATTGAATAAATGGAAACAATTGGACCATAGCTAATCACATTGATTGTATCCATTTTGATATAAATAATTTTAATATAAGCCTAATTCGAATAAAATTGTCCATCATACTTTCATATGTAGCATCTAATACGCGTCTAAGGCCATACGACCCATGTGCAGACTGCCTAACACGAAAAAGGCGCGGTAATCGGAATCGCGAGAAAATCGGGCTGAAGATGTTACGAGGTGCAAAAGGCTCTTGATAAAGATGCTGCCAAGAATGGGATTGCAAAAGAGATAATTAATTTGCAATTTTTATTTGTACAATTTGCAATTTTTATTGTACGCAAAAACTGTACCAAACTCTTAACAAAAATGTGGAAGTTAAGTCTTTGTAAAAGAGTATTTTGAGACACAGATAGCATAATTATACCCCATTTTGATTTTTCACGGCATGTCGGTTAATTCATTTTGAGCGAATAAAATTAAATATTGAACTTCTCCTCGTCGTCATCTATCTTATACGAATAATAACTCACAATTTCGCATGCATGCGCATAATAATAGATTGGCGCTTACACAACATGTAAGCGGAGGGACCTACAGTTTTACGCCGACTCCGAACGGCGATTGTATTTTTATGAGAAACTGTTTTTCATGGCAGAAATGCACTCGGAGGTTTGCCATTGCTAGCCGAGAGACGATCGCTGTTAAGAAAAAACCCTTTTTCTATATTTTATTTTGCGATTTTGCTTTGATCAGGGTTTGAACCCAGACGCTGCGGAATGGAAGCGCGCACTGCTTACCACTACACCACAGCGGCCGACTGTATACCTCCTAGGCTTTTATAAAAAAATATTAAACATAAAATAAACTAAAGAAATATAGCCGAAATTTTTTAAAGTACGACGAGACAATTATTAGGCTATTCAGAGCTTTGTGTCAAGAAGTAAGATGTGCAAATCACATTTCTCAAATAAGGTGCTCATACAGAACTTTTTCAATGGCAATTTTAGTAATGCTACGACACGCCAGATACTTCAGCTGATTAAGCAAAAAGCAAAAAAGATTTTTACATTTAAAAACTTGGAAAATTAACCTTATTTCAAATATTACTACAAAAACTCGTATACAAATAGTCTTGCCCAATTCACAGATTATGGCAAGTGTCACGTAACGCCAGATTGGAAATAACCATATGCATTTACAAGTAAAAGTTTTATTTCAAGTACTTATACATATAAGTTACGTTACATATTTAGTTGTACTTTGAGTCTAAATCAATAGAGAATTCAACGCGAACTTCAGTTTTCCGTTCATTGTTAACATCCGTGATAAATTTGAACATGTATTGTCCTTCAGGAAGAGGTAATAGCCTAAACATACCATCGTTTGGAACGAAACGATCTAAAATTATGTCGTGCTGCAAAAAGAAAACAACTTGCATATTATTTATTTAACTAAATATGCACACAAGATACTTACATCGAACGGGCAAGTGTGATTTATATTCGAAGTTTTAAATAATGCCTCATGCACAAGTCTTAAAGTGGTTGTGCTCCTACGTTTCATAAACTTACACAAATCAACGGTCACATTGTATAGAAAAGGTTGAAATGTGTTAGCTTTCCGCCAAAGGCTTAAATTGAGCTAAGTAAATAATTTGTATTTAGTGGTTATGTTAGAAATGCGCAAACTTTCTTACTCACACTGATGTTACGAACTGGTGTTTGAAAGAGCTTTACGTGCATCGTAAATGAGATTTCACGTCGACGATAAACGTATAAACGACAAGTTTTGAAGTCGGCAAATTTGTCATCGAAAGATTTACATATCGCATTAGTAAGTTTTATGTAGGCTTCGGCGAAGTATTCCCTCTGCTGTAGATGTAATGTGAGAATTATAAAAGCCAGTGAAAACTTGCAAACTGTAGTCATTGCAAATGATTTTAGAATGGACACTAGGAAACGATTGACTATTAAGAGAGCTTTAGGGGTCATTTAAGTATAAATAGTCAGTTTCACAAAATTAAATGATTTTTATACCTTTCATGAAATGAAATTTTATTTATAATTTTTTTTATTTTTTAATGACGAAGAAATTTTTTTTCATCATTCAAGTAATTTTGGACGAAGAATACGTTTTATTCTTTATTTTATTTTGCCTTTTCCAGCCTATTTCGTTATTTTATTTTGTATTTTTTATAGGTTCTTAGGTCCTAAAAATTCATTCCCTGGATAAGGCATTTTTTGTTAATGCTATCAATCAAACCTGCACCGTGCGTTCGATTTTCAAAAATGAGGTGTCAAATTAAAGCACTTGGTCTGTAGATGTGCAATGAGGTTTGTTTTTAGTTTTTTTTTTTTAGAAATCGGAAACAGTGAAAATGACAAAGATAGGGCCACTATAACCTATAGCTTCCATACAACTGATTGTTTAGATATGGGATTTTACATTTAAAACTCCATCACTTGGACGGCTAAAATCAAGCAATTCCGTTAACTATTTTCTAAATAATCATACAAAGCCTACAGAGAAAATCATCTAAATCGGTGCTGTATAAGCTACTATATGTCCAAACCATAAATTGTTCAGATACTAGTATTGGTGAAAAAATTCCTTTATGTAGGCAGCTAAAACCATTAAATTGTGTGACCGGTTTACATACGGATCGTACACAGCAGTGAAAATCATTTACATCGGTGCTTTCTAAGCAATATTTTCCATACCACTGATTG